GGTGTGTGTGTGTGTGTGTGTGTGGGGGGGGGGGGGGATAAGAAAAAGCCCCAAATATCGGGACTGTCCCTATAAAATTGGGACATCTGGTCACCCTAGGCCAGACAGAGGGTGGCTGGGATCCGGTATCTGCGAAGGAGACAGGCAGGAGCAGGGGAAATGGGAGTTGGCTGCTCCCACTGCTTTCAAAAGGCCATGGAAATGAGCGAGCCTTGACCCTTCTCCTCCAGCTCCTCCTCGGAGGCGACTTCCCAGTAGCCAGCTGCAGGTGGAAGAGGACCTCCCTTCCCCCTGGCTGCGATGTCAGTGGGTCTCTGCCCTGCCTTCCCTCTCCTGTTCTCAGCACCGCAGAGGGCTCTGCCCAAACAGTACCAGGGAGAAGAACCGATCAAAGTTACAATTAACGAGCGAATTAAAATCACGAAGCTATGGCAAATAAACAGAGTGCTCCTTGCCTGGGGGCAGAGTTTCCTCTCCCAGCTCTCTTTGGGCACGCTCGGGGGAGGAAGGCCTTTCAGAACCGGCACTCCCCAGAACCAGCCCTGCAAAGCAGGTCAGGCTGCAGCACTTTGACTATGTAGCAATGGAGACCCAGTGCAGATCCCTCCTCCGGACGCTGTAGCCTCTCTCTGGAGCCCTGGCAAGAGCCGGGATCACTGGGACCAGAGGAGAGCACAGACTCCCTGGGCTGAGGCCTGGCGGTGGGAAGGAGATGTCCTACAATCACAGCCCATGCAGTAGACCCTGGGGCTCTCGGCAATGAGGAGCGGATGCTTGGACCAGCTACTCCTCTGGGGTCTCTTTGCTAGGCTACCACGCTGGGTCCAGCCTTTTGTACCTTCAATGGGGGCTTGAGGGCACGTGTGGGGCACTCTGGGACATGGGTGAGCAGCACCAATCCCGGCAGAGGCTGGGGCAGGGCACCCGGGTGATACTCTCCAGCCATGGGGTAGGAAACCTGCTCCCTTGCTTCTCCACCACCGGCGTCAGCCAGGATAAGGGCAAGAATTGGCCCTTTGTTGGCACTCCCAGGAAAGGTGGCGGGGGGAGTACACGCTATCTGCTGGGTGGAACGTTTCTGAGCCACTTATCGGGCTGCAGCCCAGAGGTCAGCTGAAAGGCCTGCAAGGAGCAGGAATCACTCGCAGCGAGGAAGGAAAACAAGCTGCGTTCTTTCCTTTTTCTTTCTCTTTCACGGGAGTGGGAAGCTCGGCGCTCCCTCTATCCCTTAGACTCTCCTCCCCGGGCTCTGGGGAACAGGGGGGCTGGCAGGGCCTGGTTCAGAGCTCCCAGCTGTGTCTCAGGCCAGCACATTGGTGAAGCCTCACACGGTAACCTGCCCTAGCCTCTCCCAAGCCTCCTGGTTGCAGCAACCGTAGGACTTTCTAGGCACTGCTGCCTCGGTCCCTCCCTTCCACTGCTCGTCCGGATCAATATGGAAGCGATGATGGTCAGCGTATGGGACGGGGCGCTGAGTCTGAGATGCTGAGGAATGGCCTAATTTGCATGCACATTTGCATATGAACCAAAAGAAAAGCCAATGCACCCCGCCTTAAGTTAGCGTGGACTTGACTCTTCTCGGAAACAAGAGCAGAACATGGTTGAACTCGCCAGCAACAGAAACCTGCAGCTGGAGCACTGGGGTTTAGTAGCTACGACCAGATGGGCTTGTGGCTAACGCAGCTCATGGGAAACTGCTCCTGTCTACACTGATGCACTACAGCTGCTGCAGCATTTGAAGGGTGGCCAGACCCGAACGTGCAGAGGATAACCCTCCCCCTCCCCTCCCGCCCCCGCGAGGCTCATTCAGAATGTCAGTAAAGTGCCTCGTGAGCCTCCAGCAGATGGCATTGGAATGTGCAAGTGGTATTTTTACTGGTGGGCACCTTAGCTGGCAGGTGCTAGGGTTGCCTCGGCTGCTGGGGTACATTGGAACGTGGTACCACTGGAAGGCTGAGGGATCTCCTGGCCCTGCTTGCAGGCAGGGGGCTCTGAGAAAGGCACGGGATCTGGGCGGCCCGATTCCAGCAGCAGACAGCCAGGGTGGAAAGACGCAGCGTAAAGCAAGGTGGGGGGAGTAGTGCTTCTCTGGTTTAGGGAGCAGCCTGTTTCCTCGCTCTCTGTTTTGGGGTTCTCGGGTGCAGTGTCACATTGCAACCTCCCCGCGAGGCTATGCTATGCTTGAGCTCACTTCTTTATACACATGCTGTGAACATGCCAGCTTCAGCCTTGCCCTACTGGGTCGGGACTCGGATGGCCGTGCTCTGGGCTCCCAGTGTTGCGGCTCAGGAGAACGCATGGGGCTCCCTGTGCTGTAGAAAAACCCAATTCTCTCCCAACCCTTGTCCCAGAATTGAAGGAGATGCTGCAGGATGTCTCTGCCCCGGAGAGACACTCTCCCTCTGTCCCGTTGCGCTGCTCGAGGGACCAATGTTCGTGCTCTAACCGCAGCGGTAGATGCTGCTGCCGCTCCTGCTTTAAGATGCAGAGCATGACAAGAGCTGAAATGTACCAGTGGCAACAGACAAAAGGGCTGCAAGGGAACACGCAGCCAGCTGTCTCCCCCACTGGAGCTGAACATGACTCTTGAGCTAATCCGGGCTAGTTCCTATTAGCCCCCATCCTCCCCGTCTTCTTCAGCCTATTATCCAACTTCACAGGCTTACGGGAAGGGGCAGAGGGACTGAAGGGGTCATTTCACATTTGGTCTTGTAACAAACTGGCTATCACCACTGTCCTCTGGTGGGTGGAATCAGAACTACCCAGCTGTGTGTCCATGGCCCTATACTGCACACTACAAAGGGACTATTCTCTTGTCACTCACGTGCTAGCAGAGCAAGGGGAAGTGAGTTCTATCCCTGCTGTTACCTCGGTCATATTGTGCAAAACCTAGGTGGCCAGAGATATTACAATAGCATCCAAGCTCACTGGGTGCGTGTCCTGTGCCTTTGGCAGAATCAAGCCTAAATCCAGAACGAATTTGGACATAAAGCCGAAGCCATGTGATGTCTCTGTCCCTGCTCTCCCCCTCCCCATCCTGGACCTCCCCACCAAAGCAACATGAGGGAGCAGCATTACCTTTCCGTGGCTTCTCGAGTGAGTGAGTTCTCCTTCCCTTTCCACACCTGCATCCTCAGAGGCTTATCTTCCTGCACGCTCCGTGTTTGCTTGCGGGCTCTCGCCCTGGAGTGGGGCAGATGTATGGGGGTGAGGGGAGTGGTCCTGGAGAGGGGCCCCACCCTTCGACAGTGGAACAGGCGCTGGTAGGCTGTCCGGAAGTCCCTGTTCAGAGCAGCGTACAAGATGGGGTTCAGGGCTGAGTTGGCATAGCCCAGCCATAAAACTATGGACTGGGATGTCTCATCCACCGTGTCCCCCACCATCCCTCGGTAAGTGAACACTGTGAAATAAGGGAACCAGCAGATGATGAATGCCCCCAGCACGGCTGCTAGCGTCACTGTGGCCTTGTGCTCTTTCACAATGAGCAGCGCAGGGCTGACAGTCTTGCAGCAGGTGGCATGGTTGATCCTCTTGGCTTGCTCCCTGGCTATTCGGAATATCCGGTAGTACGTGATGCACATAATGACCAAGGGAAGGTAGAAGGTGAGCAAGGCGTCCACCAGCCCATACACGGCGTTGACCGCCAGCTTGCACTCCAGGCTGTTGTTCAAGCCCGTGTTCTGCACGCCGGTGCCATTGGTGTTCCAGCCCAGGTGGATAGGCAGGAAGGAGACCATCAGCGAGACCACCCATATGACGAACATGGCCACGGCCACCCGCAGAGGGGTGACCAGCTGGGTGTAGCGGAGCGGGGCTGTGATGGCGTAGTACCGGTCTATGCTGATCATGAAGAGGTTGAGGATGGAGGCCGTGCACAGCATGACGTCCAGGCTGCTGTAGATGTTGCACAAGGTGGGGCCGAAGTGCCACTCGTGCGTGAGCTCGTAGATGGCGGAGAAGGGCAGCACCAGGAGGCCAAGCAGCAGGTCGGTGATGGCCAAGGAGACGATGAAGCAGTTTGTCAGGCTACGGAGCTTGCGGTTGAAGGAGACGGCCAGGCAGACAACCACGTTGCCGCAGATAGTGACCACAATGAGTGCGGTGAGCACGATCCCAATTAGCACCGTCTGTGGTTCGCAGCCCATGCCTTTCGGAGCAGCTGTGCCGTTCGGACATGGATCCATGACAAGGAGACGCGGGCAATCAGTCCTCTCCCATCTGGGCCCCCATGATGGCCCAGCTCTGTCCGAGCTCTGCAGCTACTTGGATAGAGGGTCCCGCTGGAGCCCACAACGAATGTCCCCAGGGCCCTACTCAAACCAGCCTCGCACTCGGGCACCCGCACCCTGGGCATAGAGATTTGTGTTCACTTGTTTGCTCTTTGTCTCCGTAAAGGTGCCAGGAACCAGTCGGGGACTCTGCATCCAGAACTAGGAGAGGACGTGGGCTCTACGCAGAAATAACGCCCAGAGATCACTCCCATGTATCGGCACCAGAGGGGGATCAGTACGTTAGCTGCCAGGCGCCTCTCTGGCAGCCGCCTTTCAGTCTCAATCTCTCCCTCTTCCTCGCTCTTCTCCTCCTCCTCTCTGAGAAATTAAGAGGGGCTGAGTTGCGTAGGGTCTCAACCATGCCTGGCTCCGTCCACATGGTCAGGCTGGGGAAGGTAGGGAGGGAGATTCTGCTACATCATTCCTTCCGGCTGGTCCGTGCCTCTGGCCCTGGGCTGCAGCCACCATTCACCGCTCGGACCCTGGAAGGAAAGGGCAAGGATCAGGCCTGCAGCCAGTGCAACGGGGACTGGCCGAGGGTCTGCTGCAGAAAGCAGCAATGGCTTCTTGGGGGTTCCAGCCACCCCAGGAACATCACTGGCTGAGCCAAGCGAGGCCCCTGCAGCCAACTCCAGGGGATTGCTCTGCTCGCCTGTCCCTCTCGGGGACTCGGATCAATGCGGCGTTTCCCAATCCCCTTGGGAAGGGAGGGACGGACCAGAAACCAAATCTGCACCTCCCGCCGCCCGCTGCCAGCAGCTTGGGAAGTGGGAGGCCGGAGCCAGCGCTCACTTATGCGGCTGTCAGCTGCCATGATCTGAAGTCAATGGAGCTGCCCTGGTATCAAATCAGCACAAGACAGGGGAGACTCGGGCCCTGCAGCTGGAACCCAGACCACAGATCTTGCTCTCCGCCCTACAGAGCACTAAATGGCAGGTGTCCAGGCTGGCAGCAGAACGGACCTTTTCGCTCTCGCTTTGCTCTGAGCAAGGAAGTTCATCCTTAAGAAGCCAGGATGTTGTCCCTGGCTGGTTCTTTGAACCATCACCACCCAGTAGCTTCCCTGCACTCCCCCAAGCCGTGAGCTGGCACCTAGGAGCACCTGCCATTTCTGGGAAGGAGACAGGCACGTCAGTGCCCGCGCTCCCAAGGACACGTCTCAGAGAAGGAAACTGTAGCCTATTTGTGCATTCTTCGTGCCATTGCTTATGCTTGGCGCAGTCTCCCTCTCCAGTACTGCTTCCAAGCAGAGCCTTTCCACAGTGACTCCTACAGCTGCCCGGGCACACAGATGGAGCGCCTGCTGCCCTACACGTGCCCCTCAACTAGTCTGTCCGGATCGGAACAATAAAGTCCCTTGGGGGAGACGCCTCCATTCTTTATTTGCACTATTCCCTGTGCCTTGCCAGCACGCCGTGCACACTAGTAACAATCCGCTTCCCTTTGTAACAAGTGAAATGATTCTGCCCTTCCCCTGCAGAGCTCAGTCAGTATGACTAATAAGTGTGAACTTAAAAAACAAATTGGATTTCCTGTGAACCTAATTAACCCTATCAAGTGACTCTTCCCCTGAGACTCACCTTGGGCAAATGGACTCACGCAGTGCAAGGTGGCTCCTGGCTGCACGGAGAGTCTGCACATTAGGGTTTCGTTCCCTGCAGTGGGGGTAGCCAAGTACTTCTTGTCAGTTGTGCGTGTGACTATTGCATGGAAAAGCTGACACAGCTAGGCAGTGCCACGCACCATCCTGGCAAAGGACAGGGAAGCTCGGAAAACTCCTAGTGTTCAGGGACCATAAGTGAAGCGGCAAAAATCATGAGGTTGGCTTAAAAATGCTAAATCTGGGGGTTCTTTTTGTTTGCCTCCTGCCTTTAGGGGTCACGTTTTCAAGCTTTCCTCCAAGAACACTAGGGCAGGAAATGTCCTTAGTTAAAAATGAAAGCTGAAATTCTCCCATCAGCCCATGACTCCAGCAGCTGGGGCTTAAGAGAAACACCAGGTATTGCAAGAGTTGGCCACACTGCCTCTGCCAGTGCTCCCCAACCTCGGCTTGCAGCACCCACTAGCTGGATCTCTCTTGAGCAAAGCCTAAGCAACCGCATTCAACTCCCCCCAAATGTGACCGGATAGCGCTCCGAGTGACACAGCTGTGAATCAGGCTATTGAAATCAATGAAGTTACACCAAGAGCAGAACCAAGCCCCACAGCTTACGATCAGGTTAATGCTGCAATAGGGGCACATCGTTAGAGACAACTGTAACTTCTTTTAATGAGAGTCACGCGGTTTTGTGATGTGCTCTAGTGAAGACCTGCCAGTGAAATGAGTAAGTCTCTTCCAAACAGTTTCTGAAACTCTTGTATGATTAAAAAGCAAACAAGAGAATTACACTGGGCTGAAAGATCATTTCTGCAGGCATGTGGTTATTTTATAAATAACTCAAGAGTCCTGTCTGAGCTCAGAAATACCATTACCATGAAAAGGAAGCAATGTCTTCCCCACGCTGGCTCATGCAGTCAAACGGAAAACCACCTTGCTCTCACTGAGCTATCCCCTGGGGGAAGCCGGTAGTATGGGTCTGTGCCTGGCTGGCTTGACAATCTCTAAACAATGAAGTGTCCTTCACTGGTAGGGCAGAAATAGGTAGGGTAAAGATAACACTAAAACTCCAACAACACAAAAGAGTGCTTGGCAGCTGATCACCATGGGATTTGTCTCCAAAGCACTTTGAAACTCGAGCTAATGGACCTTTGCAATCCCCTGAGTGGCAGGCAAGCAGCATTATTTATCCCCCCCGGGAAGGGGAAACTGAGGCACTGAGGCAGGAAGCAGCTCTCATTTGTCCAAGGCCACAGAGGAAGTCAGAATCAGGATTAGAACTCAGGACTTCCCAGTTTCCAGCCCTAGGATTCATCTATTTCCCTCCCAGGAAAGTGTTTGTATCACTGAATATTTAAGAGAGTGGCTCTCAACCTTTCCAGACGACCGTATCCCTCTCAGGAGACTGATTTGTCTTGTGTATCCCCAAATTTCTCAAAAAGAAGAACAGGAGGACTATATATCTCCTCAATATATGTTCCATTCTATATGCATCCGAAGAAGTGGGCTGTAGTCCACGAAAGCTTATGCTCTAATAAATTTGTTAGTCTCTAAGGTGCCACAAGTCCTCCTGTTCTTCTTTTTGCGGATACAGACTAACACGGCTGCTACTCTGAAACCCAAATTTCTCCTCACTTACAAACTACTCACTTACAGAATCAGACATAAAAATAAAATGAGAGTCAGCAAGTGTTCAGGACTAGTGTGGCTGTGACACTTTTGTACCATATAAAAATAAAATAAATCCACTGGTCTATAAATATCGTACTTACATGTCAGTGTATACAGCGCAGGATAAACAAGTCATTGTCTGTATGAAATTTTAGTCTGTCCTGACTTTGCTAGTGGTTTGTATGTCGCCTGTTGGAGAACTAGACCAATCTCTAGCTGAGTTGATGTACCCCCGGAAGACCCCTGGGTACCCCCTTTTGAGAGCCGCTGATTTAAGAGAAAGTGAACGTGTGATCTCACACATTGAGCAGTGACCCCCTTTCCCTTTCAGACGGACTGGCTTTGAAGAGGACAATACATCCTCCTTCCTTCTCTCCCCAGATGTGTGTGTTCCACATGGAGACGATCAGGGGCCTGGAGAGACTTCCCCCTGCGGACAGATTGAGAGGCCTAGGCCTGGGTAACTCCACTGAAGCGACAGAGTTACCTAGTGCAAATGGGAGGAGGCTCTCTGCCATCCATGCACCTGCAGAGAGCGCAAAGACCTGGCACCAGAACCCCCAGCTACCGGAGAAGCCTTGGAAAGTTACTGCAGAGATGAAGCAAGAGCAGTAACTCCAGGTGTGTAAATGCACCAGATCAGGGAGATGATTCAGGTACATTTTCAGACTCCAATTCACTCTCTCTGCCAGGAAAAAACAAAACAGATCCGATTAAAATGTAAGATTCATAGAGATGCTTTATAGCATTGGCAGTAAATCAAAAATCCCAGAGCCAAGCACAGGGCGGGGTTTGAGAGATAAGATGAGTAAATCATTCACAGATTTCCTGGTTCTGCATGAGGGAAAAATGGAGGCGAAGCACCGAGCTCTGGGCTAGGGCATACACAGGGCGAGTGTGCTGCACCCGTGGCCCAGCTCCGAGTGGTCCCTGTCCCCCCCAGGGGAACGATCTGGCTGTGGGGAAGCTGTGGAACGTCCGAGAACGTGATGAATGGGCCTGCATGGCACACGAGTGGGAGCGCAGTGCGCCGAGCGAACCTGGGGGCGCAGATTAGTCCTTTCATCCCAGAGACACACCGGGGCGTGGCAGCAATGCCCTCAGCCCTTGGGCTGGGGGAAGAGCATCTCTGATCGTTTTTCGGCAGCTGTAAAGGTGAGTGAACAATGTTCATCATCGCAGCTTCTGCGGAACCTGCCACTCCCAAGAGTTTTACGGATGTTGATACACAGCTATAGATGGTGACCACTTCAGCTCCCACTGAAAAGCAGCCTTCTCTGGGCTGGAATGCTGCAGCTTTTTAGCAGCGCATAGCACCGGCATGCAGTAAGTTTAAGGCAGGAAGCAAAGAACACTTAATAACAATCCACTTGCTGACTGGTGGGAGGAGGAGGGCGGCTTGCTCCCACTGAAAGGTATTTCCAAGGGAAAGGCTTGTTTTCCCTGCTACCAACAACAAATTGGCAGTGGCAGGATAAGTCAAATTCAGCGTAATGCACTGAATCAGCATGTGCATGTGTCACACACCGTTATCCACTAGAGGATAACACCCTACTACTGCTAGCAGCTAACAGAATTACTCCTTCAGCTCAAGCAGGAGAGGATGGTGCTGAAGGGACGGAGTTCAAACTCTGCGCCATCATTACATCGGTGCCATGAAGACAATTGACAAGGAACAGTTAGACTCTGAATATCCAAGAGGCCTGTAATTCGTTCAGCAATGTGGGGAATCCAGCCCAGGCTTGGGGAGGTTAGATTAGGCTGGCACGGCGTAACCTCCTCCTTCCCAGGCCAACACTTCAGCTCCACCCGCCCTAAAGGTGCAGCTCCGTGGATGGATGGATGGGCTGCAGACCTGGCTGTTAGCACCTTTTAACGGGTTCATCTCTGGTGCTTTGCTAGTTAGTTCAGGATTACAAATGAGAAGGCGAGTCTCCCCCTGCTTTGTTAATTACATTCCTGCATCAGAGTGGGAGCAGAATGCATTTCACAATGCCACCAGGAAGGAGCTGGGTCTCTTAACCTAGGGGAAGCCAATGTCCCTCTCTGCTATATGAGAACCGCAAAGGGCCAGC